TGTCCACATCTCCCATGAGTTGTCCTGATGCGATTCAATCTGTACCAGTCTTTCCGACTGTAGCAGGGTGGTCACCCCGCTCCGGCCCTGAAGGGGTTAAAGTAGCCCTGGAGAGGGCCGCAGCTGGGAAAAGGTAGGCTGATCGGGAAAGCAGACACAGCTGTGGCCAGCTTAATCAGGGCCCAGCTGGCCCTTATAAGAGGGCAGTGGGCCAGAAGCTAACACACACTCTCTCTCTAGCTTCCTGAGAGAGAAGGACCTGGCTGCCCAGTAGCTGAGAAGGGTACCTGAGGTGTAGCAGTGCTGGGGAAGGGCAGAGGGAGCTGGGGAGCCCCAGCTTATTAAAACCCCAGGCTCTTCTAATCTGTGGAGGCTGGATGTGCAGTAGGACCGGGACACAGTTGACTGGAGTCGATTTGAGCGTCCCTGTCGCTATGTACATAGCATTATTGAGTTGAGTGTCAAGGAGTTTAGTGTGACTGCTGTGAGACCACACTGGTGCATAATATTCAGCTGCAGAATATACCAAGCTAATTGTTGCAGTTCATAAGGTCCATGGACTGAATCCCATGATGTTCCAGCCAATTTTCTGATAAGCGCGACATGAGACCTGACCTTATCCTGGTCAGGTGTTCTCGAAGTGTTGTCGCAAGATGAAACTCCAGTCCAGTATAAGACCAAGATATTTTGGACCTTGTGGTTGATGCTCTTACCGCAGAACTGCACATCAAGTTTGGTATTAGCCATTTTATTGTTCAGATGGAAAGCAGTTATCATGTTTTTTTTTCAGGTTAGGCCTAAGTTTCCAGCATTGGAAATAATCAGCCATTGTGCTAATATCTCGGGTTAGGGTGCAGCTGATGGTATGGAGGCTTGTGTGCTGAACAGCCAGGGCAACATCATCCGCATACGTGAATCTCCTTGACTCCGTCACTGGTATATCTGTGGTGTATAGATTGAAGACTATCAGAGTCAGGTCAGAGCCCTGAGGGATGCCATTCTGCATTGAAAACCATGTGGGCAGGCCCCTGCACACTAGTGGAGCCCTGCTGAAGTCAAGCCATCTAGTTCTTAATGTAGGATTGGGGTGTAACATTTCAGTATGTGCTGCATGGATAGCATATATGTCTCCGTGCTGACAGGCTATGGGTTCAAATCGCACAGCAGGATCTGGTTCATATTGAGTGTTGACTCTGAAATGATTGTCTAGAGGAGGTACTATCCTATTCAAAGTATTGATAGAGAAGTTTAACAAGAACTGCAGAGTAAATATATAAAATATATATTAATCACTACGGATGATATTTTCAAAAGCACTTAAGTTATTTAGGAGCCTAAATCCCAATGAAAGTCAATAGAAATTATACTGCCAAAGTCACTTTTGAAAAATGGGACTTATGCTCCTAAACCATTTAAGCTCTTTCAGAACTTTTACCCTGAGTGTCTAAAGATAAATAGGTACCTAGCGGGCTTTTCAAAAGCAGCTAAGCAGGTAAGATGCTTAATTGCTGTTGCCAGAAATAAAGTTGCTCTGAAATCATTTCCTAACTTATGAGTGCTTGACTTCGCGACCTTAAAAATGTTCCTTTAATACAGTTATTTGTATATAATATTTATCTAAGGGCCAAAACCTGATTTTTATGCAGGACTCTCCATTGTTTCCTTTTGGGAGTTCTGTGTGAAGACTTTTAGCAGTGTGTGGTTATTAAAAAGTGGTACTCAAAATTGCAGAGCTAGACAGCAACTTTGTCACTGAACAAAAATTAACAAAATCCCATCCAGTGTGGGAAAATATGATTACAGCATAGGGGAGGCTTTTCTGGATGTTACAGAGGGTAAAATAGTAAATTTGTCCAAGTCAGATAATGACAATGCCACTGTGAATTCATTCCCTCTCCCTGTACTGAAGTACACACTACTTAGGAAAGCAAAAATTAAACCTGCCCAAATAATGCAATTAAAATACAACCATGTATCATTAAAAATAGATCTGACGTGAAACCCATGTAATAGACAAAAATAATATCGTTACTTTTTTATGCCTCCCTTATCTTTCCCTAATTATCTTCCTTTCCATCTGCTGTCATCTCTTCCTATGTTATGTCTAATTTAGGCCCAGTCCTTGACTATGGTGGGACTTGTTGCCAGAGTAAGAGTCTGTGCATGCAGCTTTACGTTGTAGGCTCCTTAGGACATGAACACTCTCTTTTACATGTCCGTAATATTTCAGGCACACTTATGGATCTGTTTAAAAAATATTATCAGTGATTTTCCTCCTCTTTCTTAGCTGAGGCTCTGATTTGTACACTTAGTTTCTTCAAAACTGGCAGCTGCCATATCCTCACCAAGTTCCAAGTTGGGGACCAGCTGCACTTTCAAAATTGGCTAATTTGGACAAAACAAAAAATTCGTCAAATGAATAGACTTGTACTGTACTGCAAAGATGCATTTGTGGGATGGAAAAATTTCTTTAAAGATAGTTCTTTTCTTTGCTCCCAAAATTAACTGTGGGATTAGATTATGTGCCAAAAGGAGTGCCATCGTTTGAAAGAGAAGCAGTGATGTCTGAAATGCCTAATTGAAATGTTTAGTGTAACCTGATTCTTCTGTTCGCTAAAGCAACACAGATAACTCCCCAGAGGCACCATTGTGAATGAGAGGAGATAGCAGATCTAATCACCCTCATGATCATTTCTGAACAGTGTTTTTGTTCATTTATATCTCTCTTGTATCTTAAAGTTCAGAAGTATTTGTCCTTATTTTTAACACAAAGTTTCCATAATTTTGAGAGTAATTCAGCCTTCCCTGAAGTGCCATCACTGTAAGGAATATATTTAACAGCAAAACACAACAAGTTGTGGTCGCAGGCTCCTCACTGATATGTTGTGACGCTCAAAGCAAGATGTGTAGAGGTTAGCACTGTGTCCCTTCCCAGAGCTGCCATCCTATCCAATCTGGTACAATATGAAGGAGACAAGACCCTTTTGCAATCATAGAAATGTAGAGCGGCGAGGGACCTTGAGAGGTCATTTAGTCCAGTCCCCTGCACTGAGGCAGGACCAAGAAAACCTATACCATCCCTGACACATGTTTGTCTAACCTGTTCTTAAAAACCTCCATGGACGGGGATTCCACAGCATCCCTAGGTGACGTGTTCCAGTGCTTAGCTACCCTTATAGATAGCAAGTTTTTCCTAATAACCAAACTAAATCTCCCTGGCTGCAAACTAAGACAATTACTTCTTGTTCTACCCTTGGTGGGCATAGGCAGAGGGTGAAAATATTGTTTGGGTGTGAGGGGCTGAGGAAAACTTAATAGCTACCCCAGAGAGGACCAGGGTGTTGGAAAGTGAGTCTACCCCACATTCACCGGCCTGCAGTGTACGTACTGAGGTCCCCTACTACTGCCACATCCTCCTTTCTGCAGGAGAGAGGGGACCTTTGTGCTCCCTAGGGGAGTGAAGTCCCTACTACCATTCCTGGGAGGACAAGGATTCCCAGTGCCACAGTTCATGCCTCGCTGGGAGAGGACCCCTACCACCAACATTCCTAAAAGATGGGGGATCAGAGTGCAGGGGCAGAGTTCCAGGGGTGGAGCCACGAGTGACCCAGGACATAGTGGGCCTAGTCAGGTGGCTATTCAGTGGCCTGCCAAATCCTTCTATGGCATGTTTAGAGCATCCATTACTGTGGTATAGAGGTCTATGGGAAGCAATTTGGTGGTCTCAGTTCCTTTCCTGCTGAACAAATATCCATGCCCGATACAAATATTTACAAGTATTTTTCCAAAGCACTGCAGCTCACCACGAAAAATGAAAGGACATTTCAAGGGCAATAACTGACATTCTTAGCAGAGAGAGGCCAAAGACTGTACAGGTCAGGGAGACTGATATATTCTGTCACACACCGATCAGGGAGAAGTCATGTTGGCAGCAGTGGCTTCTGTCCCCCAGGGCTGGGCCCAGGCTCTGTGCTGGGCTGGCATGGGGAAAACGGGGGGTGAGGTTGGAGAGTGGGCCTGCACAACCCTGCACTCACCCAGGGGACTTGGGGAACAAGCCCACCCAGCCCCACACTCACCCCAACAGCAGTGGCTCCCTTCTGTCCTGCGGGGCTGGACCCAGGGCTTGCAGAGACAGCTCCACTAGCTCTGTGTTCAGTCTGGGCAGCAGCAGTTCCATCCTGTCCCAGAGTGCTGGCCAGGGCCCAGTTCCCCACTGCGTTCCATTGGCTCTTGGCGCTAGGAGGAGCCAGCGACTGCATCATGTGGTGCACATCAGGGCTGGGCATGTGGTGGCAGGGGGCAGGGGGCAGATGTATAGATTTGGGGGGGGCTGGACCCACTCTATCCTAGCCACCCGATGCCTGTGTTGGTGGGCCTGGAGAATATTGATGACTGTCTCTTTATAACAGCTTCTAACATATTTGAAGACTGATATCATGCACCTCAGTCAGCCTTCTGTCCTCTAATCTAAACATGCCAAAATTCTTACCTTTTCCTCATAGATCATGTCTAAACTTCTGTTTGCATGGTAGGAATGACCCCAGTTTACTGTTTCACTGACAATAATGTAATGATTATTTGGATGAGTGCTAACCAACCAGCTGAAGCTGAAACACAATATGAGGAACAAAAATTGTAACTCTGCTGCTTTGTGTTACAGCACAAGTGGAACCTCCGAAGGCCTGATCTTGTGGGGTGCTGACTTTGTGCAACTTGCATTGAAGCCAACTGAACTCATGGGCATTCAGCACCTCACAGGATACAGCCCAATGAGCTTAAAACAGAGTTGCTGAAGCAGGGTTCAGGTTTCCCACTTTTTAAACTGAACAGCTTGAAGCTGATTTCTCAGACTGTAATATTACACATTTTATTTTAAAACAAGTGTTTGAAATACAATCCAATTAACCTACTTTGTGGGCTTTCAGAAGTCCATGTTTTTTTTAAAAAACGTACTTAAACTGATTAAAAATAGCACATTTCCTTGTTTGTTTTCATAGCAAGAGAAGTTGGGTGATATCTGCTTTTCCCTTCGCTATGTGCCTACTGCTGGCAAGCTGACTGTCGTCATTCTAGAGGCGAAGAATCTGAAGAAGATGGACGTGGGTGGCTTATCAGGTAAGTTTAAGGAAGTCTGCATGTAGCAGATACTCTGCTAACCTGTAAAGCAAAGGAACTGCTTTTCCACAATAGCCCTCTCCCTTGAGAAAGTGAAGAGTCTTGCTTATATTCTGAAGTGAATTTTGCAGTCACTAGTACTCATTCGATAGCTGTGTGCATGAGAGCCCATACATAACTTAAAAACAATCCAGTGCATTATGCATTGCATTCAGGACTTAGACAAGATCTAAACAATTAAACAGTCAGATGACACTGCAACCTCACTGTAATTTCTTCCTTTCCTGTTGCCTGGAGATAAATATGGATTATTCAAGAGGAAAAACTCTGATTATACTTCCTATTGTCTTTCTAATCTCCCACCAAACCTTGAGAATGAGCTGCATTTCTCTGCAATGTTTCCGACACTGTATAATACAGGTACTTACAACAGGTCACTATACTGGCTAGTGATTGAGGTGCTGGGGGTGATTGTGTCTACATTGCAAGGGCTTGATTGTGACTGGCTCATGCACAAGGGTAGGAGGGACACCCTCTCTCTTGTTCCTATGTGCGGAGGGTGGTCACAGTTGCAGTCCCTGTACTTGTGGGAGAACAGGGGTTGCTTCCTCCCTGCCCCATTGGATACACAATGCCCGAAAGGGGTTAGGAAAGCATGGCCCCATCTACCTTTTGGCAACAGCTCATAGTAAGGCTGGCACACTGTGGGTAGGATCATCTGCCATTCTAAGGGATGGTGAAGCCTGCACATGGGAAGTTTGGAGCAGGATTGTGAATCACAGTCCATCCCCAAAATCCTTTGGGAGTGGTGGAGCTCCACACTGATCTCCATTCATGGCTGTGACTAAAATACAGAACCTAGCTAATGCACGAATTACACATTAGCAGAAATCAAAGTATGTGCTGTTAAATAAGATAGTTTGTACAAGGAGAGATCTTACAAAAAGTTTTTTTTTATTCACCTCATGTTTAGAAGAGACTATTTGTAATTTCTCATCAGTTTATACAAACACAATGGGAATGGGGTTGTTTCTAATAACAACTAGGTCATGGTCTAGAAATAGAAACCTTTAGTGATGTCACTACGGTGGAGAGAGGACTGGAGACTATACCGTAGGGAATGATCTCCAGTTGGCAAGAAGATGATGGATGAAATGATCCAATAGGTATGTTTTGCTTATTTCTACAAATCTATGTTAGGACTAGAAAGAGTTGTGTCAAATATTCATACAGAACTCAGGAACTTGCTCAAACGACATACTGCATTTGATAAACATAAGGAGGGAAGGTCACAAAGTGAGGAAATCTGAGTTCCTCACTAGCTGCCTAGGTCCCATCTTGTCCCCACCCTCCCCCACTATGTGCCATTTTTTTGTCTTCAGGGAAACAAGGTAATCTCCCTTCCCTTCTGATACTTCCTGTGCCTTTGGGGGCACAGGTACCCACTACTCCTATCTTTATAAAGGGACTGCCAGCCTGGGTCATAGCCCCTAACTTCTACTTACAGGAAAATAGAAGATGGAAACACTCCCGTTTTCATCACATCTAGCTCTGTAATAAGCCAAGAGGCAGCAAGTACCCTTAAGGTTTAGCATAGTAATTAGAGATTCCCTAGGAAATCACTATCTATCATGTGCTATCAGTAATGTATTAACAGACCATAACGATAAGACAGACAAACTTGTATTTTTAAGATAGCAGACAAGGAAACATCCATAATGAAGATTCATAGATTTTAAGACCAGGAAGGATCACATGACCATCTAGTCTGACCTCCAGCATTACACATTTTATAGAATTTTCCCCAGCAATTCCTAGATGTAATGCAATAACTTCTGGTTGAGCTAGAGCAAATCCTTTAAAAAGATATCCAGGTTTGATTTATAGCTTCAAGTGGTGGAGAATTCACCTCATTTTCTGGTGTGTTGTTCCAATCGTTAATTCCCCTATTAATTCTTCTATTGAAACTTTTGCTATTCTGAATTTGAATTTGTCTAACTTCATCTTCCAGCCATTAGATTTTTTTATGTATTTGTCTGCTAGATTAAACTGCCATCTACTATCAGAAAGCTCTTCTTGTTGGTAGGTACTTATATACTGTGATCAAGTCACCTCTTGACCTTCTGTTTGGTAAACTTAATAGATTGAGCTTCTAAAATCTTTCACTGTAAGACAGTTTTCCTGAACCTCAAATCATTCTTGTATCTCTTTTTTGAATCGTTTCTAATTTTTCACAATCCGTTTTGAAACGTGGACAATGGAGATGTGGTACTGCAGGAATAGCCTCATCAATGCTGCATATGGAATGAATTGCAAATAGATGCTAATGTGCATCTTCTTTGAGCCTTATACTGTGATCCTTTCAATAGCATTTTTTATTACTTTGTATTATAACCTATGATCAGGTTCACATCATGGGGTAAGTCTTGTGACTCAGTTACAGGGCAGAGAGTCAGGACATCTGTATTCTACTCCAGGCTATGCTACAAACTTACTGATATTGGAAAACAGTAATTCAACTGTGTAAGTAGTAATGGGACTACTCATGTGAGTAAGGGGATCACAATGTGGCCCTAACCTCTATGTACCTTGGTGCTCTCATCTGTTGAAAAGGGATGATAATTCCACAAAATTGTTTTGTGAGATTTACAAACCTTAATGAATTAAAAGCATTCTGTGAATTTCAGATGGAAAATGTTATCTTAAAAATGATTTGCAAATAAGCATGTTTAATATTGCTCTAAGTGCTGAAATGCCTCAAATAGTGCAAAAGATTATTTCGAGAAGGGAATTAGATTCTGCGTTCCTTTGCTAGGACCAAGCCATCCTAAAGATACCACCCCTCCTCGGCAACAAGCAAACCCAACAGGACCCAGCAGTTGTAAGTGGGGGGTCTGAAAGTCACTGATCTGAGGTCAGCTGTAGAAATATGAATTTCTGCCAGAGCCTGTTTATTTGGAGCCTTTCAGAACATAATACAAAACCTATTCTAGGGTAGGTGATTAAAAATAATAGAATAGAATTTAAATAAAAAAATAATCAAGATGATTGATCACAGATGGCAGCGTATTACAGTCCTCCATGCTGTTGACCATCATCATTTTGCAACACATGAATTGAGATCCACTCCAAAAGAGTTTCGTTTGCCTGACAGTCACAAATAGCAGCAAATACAATATCTCTAATATAAAAACCAAGGCCTTGTCTACACTACACAGTTTTGTCACAAAAGTCAGCTTTTGTCAACAAAACAGCAGTGGTGTACACCCGGAAATGCTCCTCCTGCCAATCTCCTGTTATGCCGACCTAATAAAACCACCTCAACGAGAGGTGTACGACTTATGTCGGTGTAGTAATGGTGACGCCATGACTGTGTAGATGCTGCATTCCTTACAGCGGCTGTTAGCTGTCATTCTTGTCTGCTGCCTAGTCTCCGCTCCTAGCCGGGCTACCTCCCAGGGTTCCAGCATGGGCTGCCACCCAGGCTCCCCACTCCCTACTGGGAACCCTGCTGCCCTCTGGCTCCCTGCTCCCCCCCCACTGGAAGCATGGCAGCCAGCTGGACTCCAAGTGTAGATCTCCCTGCCGGAGGCGAGAAACCCTGGGCAGCCTCCCCCTGCTCCTAGCTGGGAGCGTGAAGGTGAGAAGCCCTGGGGGGCAGCTGGGCTCCCGGTGGGGAGCTGCATGGAGCTGAGAGCCCTCGCTCCGAGTCCCCCACGATGCCCTTCTTCAGTCGGTGGAAGCGCTCCTGGCGAGGATGTGCACCTCCGACGGAAGAGGGAGGGTAGTGTGGGCATCAGTAATTACTGCGATGGCTGTAAGTCAGCCTAAGATAGGTCAACTTATCTTTGTAGTGTAGGCATAGCCTAAAGGTGACATAATGTTGGTTTAAAGTGGGAGAGTTGTTTTTACTATGGAATATCTCTCTCCCACATAAATCATGCAGAAGCAACTTTCAAAACCAAGACCCAGATTCTTCCCCCACCTCACACTAAATAGCATCTTACTCTGCAAGTAGAACTACTCTTGGAATAAGATGTTATTCAGTATAAGTTGGGGTGGCAGGATGTGATCCCAACAAATGAACTCCTTTTCCAGTATAGTTTTGTGATTTCTGTCCCCCAGAAGCAAAAATTGCTTTTCATTTTGTAAAACTGCATCACAGTGGAGGTGGGAATATGTGAACAATCAAACATGATCTTAAGCTGAATATTGCCCACACATTCAACAGCACTTACTGTCACTCGGAGGAGGCCATTAGCAGGAGATGGAAATTATGTAGGTGTCACATGGAAAAAAAATCTTAAAAGTTTGTGAAAAATAGAGAAAAGTCTGCTGTTTTTCAAGTTAAAAACCATTTTATTTTTTGTTATTCTTTCCTGTTGTGAGAAGGGCATGCGAAAGGGGGAATAGGAAGGGATATGGCATTATGTTACACCTGAACTCTGCGCCCCACAGAAGAGTTTGTTACCTGTATGGCATGTTCAAAGGAGGAGGAGCACCCCAGCTCCTGTGGAATTCTGACATGGGCAGCACACACATTGCAGGTGCATTAGAGAGAGGGCAGCAGGTTTCCTTCACCTTTTGGGTTTTGTTGCTGGTGTTGGTAAATGTGTGCAGTGCCTTTTTCACATGGAGGAAGATCCCTGTGCAGCATTTTAAGGGAGTAGGAACTAGTACCCTCAGGGTATGTCTACTCTGTAGCTGGGAGTGAGCCATCCAGCCCAGACACACAGCCTCACACTAGCGGGTCTGGAGCTATAATGCTAAAAATAACAGTGAGGACATCATGGTTTGGGCTGGAGCTTGAGCTTGACCCCCTAGGCTTCAGAGCCCCAACTCCAGCCCAAGTCATAACAACCACATTTTTATTTTTAGCACACTAGCTTGAGTTGCACTAGCATGAGTCTTTCTAGCTGGACTGGGAGGTTCAGTGTAGACATACCCTCCATCTTCCTCTGCCCCTCTTCCTCCACATAGAACTGGCCATGATGTCGCCC